ACGACTGAATCCTACTCAATGTCGCTATAGCACTTTCGGTAGAGAGTTATTAGCTGTTTATTTAGCAATCAAGCACTTTCGACATATGCTAGAAGGTATAGCTTTTACTGTCTTTACAGACCATAAAGCTCTAACGAAAGCCTTATCAGCAAAACAGGATAACTACTCTCCGCGTGAACTACGACATCTCGAGTTTATATCTCAGTTCACCTCCGATCTGCGACATGTGAAGGGTAAAAACAATGAAGTGGCAGACGCTTTATCACGTGTGCACATTGACAACATTGTATACCCAGACATCGACCACGAACGTCTCTCAAACTTACAACGAGATGATGCCGAACTAAAAAAGATCATGTCTTCTAAAACATCTTTAAAACTAGACGCAATTCCTTTTGGCGCGACAAAAATAATCTGCGACACCTCTACGGATAAATATCGACCTTTCGTTCCAGCAGCTATGAGACATACTGTATTCGAGAAGTTACATAATTTGTCTCATCCCGGTGTCAGCGCTACTATCAAACTACTGAAAGAAAGATTTATATGGCCGAACATTAACAGCGATGTTAAGAAGTGGACACGAAATTGCTTGTCCTGTCAAAGAGTCAAAATCAACCGTCACACTAATGCACCACTTGGTCGCTTTCCTAACCCTGACTCTAGATTTGAACATATACATGTAGACATAGTTGGTCGACTACCTCCTTCCAATGGTTTCAATTACATTCTAACTTGCATCGATAGATTCACTCGTTGGCCTGTAGCAGTTCCAATAGCCGACGTCTCCGCTGAAACAGTAGCTAAAGCTTTGGTCGAAAACTGGATAGCTAACTTAAGTGTCCCATCCATTATCACTACAGACAGAGGTGTTCAGTTTGAAAGCCGATTTTTTCACCAGCTAACTGAATTACTGGGCATTAAACGAATACGAACGACCGCGTACCATCCTAGTTCCAACGGTATGGTTGAAAGACTTCATCGACAACTCAAAGCTGCGCTCGCTGCTTCTTTGACTCAAAATGACTGGTCAACCAAACTTCCACTGGTACTACTTGGTATACGAGCTGCTCTCAAGAAAGATATTGGCTGCTGTGTTTCCGAACTAGTCTATGGAACAACATTACGACTACCAGGAGAATTTTTCACCCCAGGTAACCAAGTTCCACAAGATATGACTGGTTATGTGCACCAGCTAAAACAACACATGAACGAGCTCAAGATATCACTTCCACGCCAGCAGGAACGAACGTCATACATCCCGCCACAACTGACAGATTGCACTCACGTCTTCGTCAGGAGAGAGGGTGTACAACGACCACTTCAACCCGCTTATGATGGCCCATTCAAAGTTCTAAGTAGAAATGATAAAGTTATCACGATAGAACGACTGAATAAAGCAGAAGCCATCAGTGTCGACAGAGTCAAACCAGCGTTCATCGACGATTTCGAAGACAACGATAAAGATCAGCTGAACGACGTGCCAATACCTACATCAACGCAAGCTTCAACGTCGCCAGAGAAACCTATGAAAACTACACGCTCTGGTAGGAGAGTTCATTGGCCTAAACGTTACGTGCAAATAATCAATATATAACTTATTACGAATTTCCATATTTATTATCTTTATTAGTAATTGTCATTTGACTACTCATTTAACTGATTAATATTTTCATACGTCAATCACGTCACTACTATTTTAACATCGATATTTCCTGTATTATTACATTTAATCATATAGCGCTTAATATTCATGTATCCTTTCCGTCTACAGATTACAGATTCCCCGGCCGATTGTATCATTCCTTATATATTCTACTATGATTATCAATCCTATTTTTTCTTTTATTATCGCATTTATTATCGGCCTTATTGACCGCATTAAACTGCTCATTTTTTAGCTTAATAAATCGCCTTCTGTGTACTGTCGCTGTTACGTATTACGCTGACGCATGTTATTGTCGAACACTAAAATGTATTTTTTAATATTTCAGTGTTCTGGTGGGGGAATTATGTAGTACCCCTGTACCAACTATAAACATACGCTTTTAATCTAATTTGCATACTCATATTATATGTTTACACATACCGATTTTATATGTACTTCGTAAACATTTGTCAATTTACTGTTGAACGTTACCTTGATACAATTTTGAAATTTGACTACGGCTATAATACACGATTACATTCTTCACAAGTGCCTTCTGATTTTCCGTTGTGGGCGTCGAGTAGCCACAACGTCTGCGCACATTGATAAACGTGAAGAAGTACTAGGAAATACGTGTACGCTAATTTAGTCAAATAGAACACGCAACAATAAGAACACACTTCCTATGAGATAATAGACTCACAACTGTAGAGAAGACTAAATTCGACCAAAATAAACGGAGTTAGAGTTAATATGTCGTTTTCCGAGTGTTCAAAATAACAAAAGCGGAAATTAAAAAAGAATTCAGGAAATTCATCCCTTTTCCAAGGTTCACGCCTCTGACAAAGGTTGATATTCTGTTTTTTCAGGTCTCGATATCAGAAGGCTGGCTTATTTGTCCTTCTCATGAGAAATCTTTTACTGTTACGCATAGAGAATTCACGATAATTAAGCTACTGTCCAGTGGCTTATGCCACCATACACTTTACACATAGACAGTTAGGTGCGCTCACCCCTGAGCTCTTTCTAAAGTTGTACAAAACATACTTCAGACCACATCTTGAGGTGTATAATATTACTGCGCCCCCAGTGCTCAGAAGAGACGCCAACCCCCTGGCAAGAGTCCAAAGACGGGCGACAAAAGGAGGAGTTGGTCTCCGGAATAAATCGCATGATGAAAGGCTAAAGAAATTAGGCCTATTCACACTTAGCTACCGCCAGCTCAGGGGGGATTTGATTACTGCCTACAAGATAACAAATGACCAGGATCACCCAAACAAAGGTGTTCTGCCATTGAGTAGGTGTGGGCTTCCTCGTGGAAATCCTGGAAACATAGCTCAGCAGAGGGCAAGGACCCGGGTTCCCTCCCACTTCTTTTTACTGAGGGTTTGCCGTCCCTGGAATTCCCTACCGGCAGACGTAGCTATGACACCGTCTGTGGACACCTTTAAGCGAAGACTGGACAATCATGCGGCGACAGGAGGAACGAGTCCAAATGGCCTATCTCCTAAAAATTCCATACTGCATCCAGGGTTAGACAACCAAATTCGTCGTTTTAATTCTTTACATCCTCTCCCGTCTTACTCTCCTGACAACTTCAGCTACTACACTTACTATTATTATTATTACTGATATCATAAACATATATCATATTCAAATTTAATCAGCTGTCTGTTTTTACGTTCTCTTTATTTCATTTTCTGTCTTTTAGTCTGAATAACCTACACTAATTATATCTCTTATTATTCATATCTCTTTTCTTTTGTCGATGACACCGGACGACCAACTGGTGAAAAGATCAAATCCATTCACAGCATTGACGGTCTTAACACACAGCATACTACAAACAACATATAATTAATCCCAGCATCACTCCTTTTGGAGTCAACCAAAGCTACGACAGTCGAGTGGCGGGACGAGCTACGCAGAAGTTTACCGAAGATCAGGAACCTATACCTCACAATCAAGAGGCGAGCACAAAGAAATCAGTTTGGTTTATACTAGCTCGCAAAAACGATATCAGATATTGGATGTCTAGGGCATTCATGGAGGTGATACGAAGTGACTTTGTTACACCGGTGTACTAGGTGATTACACTCAAGCTCAGTTATTGAAGCCTATAGTAAGTTAACGCCAAATACTGCTGCTTTTGAAGATAATATAATGCAAATACATATTTAGTAAACCATAGCTATCGAATATAAAGTACATAGGTCTCAACTCTAAACATTTATGTGGAGTGTTAACAGAATAGAGAAATACTTAAAATATTGTAAGATATACAGACTTGTTGTGTTGAGGATAATAGTGCCATATAATGCAACCTAGGCATTCAATCTGTACTGCTTCATGTAAACGGAAATGTCAGGAGAAATTCACCTCCACTACAGATGATCAAAAACTTTGCAGCATTGAGTTTACAGTGTCAGTGAGAATGGCATAACAGACAGTAGATTGATAGTAACAGAGCTGACCAGATTCAGTTCTCATAATCGACACAATCAATTTGTACAGTCATACTATACACTGAATTACTACACTAAGTGGAACAATGAGGAAATTTAAACTAGTGATTGCCTCATCCACTGCACTGCATTTGCAACAATCATGAGAACCACCTACATTTTTTAGCCCAGCGGTCAGCTAGGCAAACAGTGGCACAATATTAATAGGTATTTTTTGTACATTGAATCCACATAACTCATATTGCACTGCACCAATCAGTGCAAATATATATTAAATCCACTTAGAGATAGCCATTACGATAGTTCCTGTCCAAACACAGATAAGGCGAAAGACACATCTATATGATAACTTAGGTTGCCACAGAAGATTATGTTAGCATTTATAGGTGATTCCCATGTACTGATAGCATTCGTTTGTAAAATAGTACTGCTCTTTCATGAAAAATTCCCATTCGAACATTAATAGACAGAAGACAAGTAGTTCAGCGAAGAGTCTCTTTTCGGCGAATTCATTTTCATAGCCGAAAATGAATTCGCCGAAAAGAGACTCTTCGCTGAAGTACTGTTCTTCGCACGAAAATAGGCAGCATCGATATCCTGATACGTGAAATCTTCATTGAATGATACTACGCCGGTAGGTGCAGCTTCTACATACAGTAAACTACTTGTGTATATGACATTATCCTCCAACTATTCCATCTTCCTCATTATAGCGTTATTTTGACACAGTCCGCCTGAAACACTAATCATTGCAACCAGCATGCTAGGAGTGTGTCGCAGTCGCGGACATCAACATAACTACCCAGGAAATGAGAATTCCTATCAATCCAGTAAAAATATATCACAATTTCATCAAAACTTGTTGACAAACAATTTTTCCAAGCGAAATTTCAACCCAACGTGACGTATAAGTCCAGCCGTAAAAACGATATTGGATATTGGATGGCAACTAACTGAAACTGACCTCCGAGCACGTTTTGAAATTTTGTCACATGGGGTTTTCTTCTGGTTGTTTCGATGTAGTTATCGGTTCATCTTCCGGCTTTCTGAGAGGATTATCGATATGTAGTCATTCTCTGTCACCAGTTTCCTTAATTAAAAGTGAGAATATTACTTCTATGTGCTGGTGTGACGGAGGAGAATCTAAAGTTTGTTAATCTTAATTTGTAATATGTTACTTACTGGTGTTTGCTGGGTGTCATTCAGGGAAAATTTACAGTGTCGATATCAAGTGTGGTTCATTAAATTCCTTGGATAAGCTGTCGAAGTCGACGGAGGGTTCTGTTGTCGGTTTGCAGTCCCATGACAAGTTAGTGTGCTTCGCGAATTATTAAGCCAGTTTCATTTTTACAGCTTACTCGTCTGGGAGTGTGAAACTGTTCGATCATGACCTCACCACTGAGACTGTAAGTTGAGGTGTTTATTTATTTTCTCAGCTGCAATTGTTTGTTAAAGGTCATTTATGTGCAGCTAGATTGACAGCTGGTCAGATTGCTGTAGGAGGTAAAGATGTTTCACTGCGCATATGGGACATTAACAACCCTAAAGAACCAGTTTTCACAGCCAAAAATGTTCGTCCATCTGTTTTACAACTCGCAGAACCCATATGGATTTCAGACATCAGTTTTGTACCAAGAACTAACGGAAAGCTTGTACTCACAGCTTCCAGACATGGTGAAGTAAGTATATAGGCAATGGTAAGAGCATTCTGTTTTAATTGTGACGGTATTTATGATTAAGTTCATTTCCATACGATAACAAATTTCCTAAATTTTAAGTTAAGCCAAATCCGGATTCTTCAATTCAAAATCAAAACTATATCCTCACTTTTTTGGTGAGCAGAATATTATGGGTATTTTGGTATATTGCTTTTCAGTAATTGCCTAGATCCCCTTTCTGCTAGAGTTGTGTTTTTGCTGCACACCTACGCTTGTTATCTTCAGCGAATGCATATGGATCCTAAACTTTTCAGTCCTATGGTTATTCATCGTTATACAAAGGATTTAACTGTTACGTAGAGGGAAACCGAAAGCTTAAGAATCCTCTTCAAGTACTGATAAACACCGATTAATTTTACTGTGCAAATATACATTAGGCTGTAATATATCACGGCAGTTTACGAATAAAGAGAACATACTCATAATTGTACTGCAATAAGCACTAGTATGGGAGAAGGAAAACACAGAATGAAGAATACTAACCATTGGAGATTTCGATGTAAAGGGGATACATACGTGCCACTGTGTAAAAAGTGTGAGCCATAGAATCAAGTATTTTCATTTATTCGTTTATGACATCTCAAGGATTTCGGTTAGGTAACATTTTACGAAAGCAGTCTAGATCAATTGTGTGTGTCAGTTTGAGTGATTAGATTGTACTGTTGTTTGTAGTGGGGATATTTTTGTGATATTTTATTAGGATTTAATTTCGCTTTTGTGGAATTCCAATTCAATGTTCTGAATTTGTCATATTATCCTAAATTTGTATTTTAGTTAGATTTATATGATTTGCGGTGTGGTCAACGTCGACCAGTTGCTCGTCATGCATGGCGTACAAGTCGCAAACATGGTAAACTTCATGTTGGTAGTGGAAAGCACAGTGCAGTACTTCCAGATTTGGCTACTACTCGACCTATAACAAGAGCACTAGTATATGATAATTCACCTGGCGTAGGATTACGCGTTGTTGCTGGGAATGCAGTTGGCGAACTTTCTGTTCTAGATTTAAGACTACCACAAGAGTATTCAAACATATCCGATTGTGATAGTTCCATTCCAATACCTGTCAAAAGTTATGGATCTCGAGCACCTGAACCTCCATCTGGTGTCCGCTGTCTAGCTGGAGCTTCTGGTTGTATAACTCAGTTAGTGTGTGGTGGAGCTGACGAAGGAAACACCGCATTGTCATCAATCGAAGCAGTTGTGAACGACGAGCCAATCATTCTGGTATCTTCGTTGGACCGATATATGCGAATATATAATCGTGATACGGGGAAACGTCTTGGAAAGGTAATTACTGAGTATTTCGATTGGTTTGTTCATAGGGAAATAATTTAGTGAGCATTTATTGAATAATTTTCAATGCATAACATTGATGTTGAACTGCAAACCACTGAATACATAGTTATTGCTTGTATATGTTGGCAGAGATTTTCAATGGAATGTGTTTCTTTCCTGACATTAGTATCTGGACTGTAACCAGCCATTAATACTGTAGAATTCTACCACATATCACTGAGTGTCGAAGAACTTTTGTAAAAAGTATCAAATTACTATATAAAAGGAGTTGGAAAGTGGATATTTGTCGCTTTTTAAGATGATTGAGACCATCATTTCCCTCCAATATTGCCAAATAGTTCATTGTTAGGTATATGCATCATATATCAATTTATATAGGTTCATATTTCACTTCTTAAATAATTAGTGTTTCATATCTTAGGTTGTTCTTTAAGAGTATATTGTGTTGATATTGGTCTTTTCGTAAACACATGACCACACAAAAGGTGAACTCGATTTGCGATACTGGGCACTGTTCACCATAATGTAATTCATATCGTGTTTGAATAAAGTCGTATTTATGTCAACTTTCTGTTTCGATCTTCATTTTTGCCCCTACAGATTTATGTCAAATTTCCTGTAACATCATTTCTAGTAAATAGCACAACAAGTTTCACAAATCTTGAAAAGTTTTTAAAGAAAAGCGATGGTGATCACGCTGCAAATGATCCGGAAAGTCATGATGAATCTCATAATATATCTGAAACAGAACAAAAAGAATTTGACGAATTATGGAATCAAATACCAGTTGCTGAAAACGATGTTGATGCTACTTCTAATAAAGACAATGAAGAGACTGTGAATCACAAAGTTAGTAAACGGAAACGTAAAAAGTAGGGAATACTGCCTGTTATATACTGTATTATATATCCTGTGTACAAATTTGATTTATTCAGAAATAAAGTGGGTTTTCATTTTTTTTTCAAAATAAAAAGACTGACTTTATGCACACCTCCTTAAAAACTTCATACAGTTATTTCCATTAATAGATTTGAATAAAGCAAGAACGACAAATGTACCAGGATAATCTGAGCTGATATTTTTTTTTTTCGTGGATTCTTCTCAACTGGTTACAACCTGAACAATACCAAAATTATAAATTAAATTAAAGATTTGAATATACTTTTTTACAGTGATAAGGAGAAATTGATTAGAGCTAAGATTAATATCGGTCGGGAATAATGTAAGTTGTTAAATAATTAGTAGTGAAAAGGATCGACTATTTTTAGAATTGCATGATAAAGCTTGGAAACTGAAGAACAGAGTTCAACAGATGTTTTGTGGATAGAAACAAAGTTTAACTAGAAAGGGTATAAAAAGTAACAGGTTACGTAACCACAAAAAATAATCAACACTTGTATGAAGTATGCGATTCACTCCCGTCAAATGTAAGATGATGTTACAGGACTGGAATACATTGACTCACTCCTAGCTTAGAAATAGGGAGTGAAGTGGTAGAGCACGTTGACCACTTCACTCATTTGGGAAGTTGCATCAGCCAACGCCAACGGGTTGATCGTTGACGAAATCTCAGCACGGACACAGAAGGTTCGTTTCGCATATGTCAACTTACGTCATTTCTGGTGTAGACGTGATATCCGACTATCGACCAAAGGACGTGTGTACTGCTCAGCAGTCCGCTCCGTCCTTCTTTTTGGCTGTGAGACCTGGCCATTGAGAGTGGAAGACATGAAAATGCAGGCTAGCTGTCTTCGATCATAGGTGCCTGCGTTCTATCGCCCGTGTGAAGTGGTATAGTAGGGTGAGCAATATTGAGGTTAGGCGTCGAGTGATAGGTAAGGAGGGGAAATCAATCTACAATCGACTGAGATGGTCAGAACATGTGTTACGTATGCCTAGTCATCACCTTCCTCGACAACAGACAATGTTAGCTGACATAGGGTCAGGTCGGAATATAGCCACTGGTGTTCAAACCAAAACATAGCATCAGTCAGTGAAATCCACAACATTTAGTTTAAGCCAGCCACGTAGGGATGGTAAAAACCAATGGCGGCTGGATATGGCTCAAAGTGGTCGTTCTCAATGGCTAGCGCAGATGCATCCACTCCTTGTGACTTATAATTTCCAATAAAACTATGTTGTTCTTCGTTATTACTACTCTTTTTGTCTCATACTGCTGTCTACTGTCTCCATTTTGCATTTCTTTTACTTTCCTCTCTTGCTTTATGTGCTACATGGAGTGTGGCGGCTTGAACTGCTGCACATCAGTGCAAAGTTCTATGTTGAAAACAGACAGATAGACAGATGAAGTTCTTTTGTTTAATTATAAGATGCTGTAAATTGATTTTCGATAATGACCCTATAAATTGATCACCTAATAAGAAATCAGATTATTAGGTACATTAGTCGAGATACCTGTCTGTTTTTCATTAACACTTGACGGAAGTTTTGCTTTTAAAATACAGGATAGACTTATTTTTGTATAATTTTCCTGTTTAAGTGTCTATGAGTATATAATTTGGGTTTTGGAGCTCTTCAGCATAAGGTGGTGTTCAAAGGCTAGTTTATACTGAAGCTTAGTTTAACAATATGGAATGGTATTTACCTGCTCAACTATATGATTGTGCTTGGAAAGTAGTTGAGCTTTGCCAGCTATGGCAGATACTGATTTGATCAGGGACTTATGACACAGTACAGAAAGTGTGAAGAAAATAACCAAACAATGTAATTTGGACTGGTATCACAGGCTTTTCTCATTAGTCTAAAATGTAAGCGTTATCAGCCAATCTTAAACTCTTGTATACTTCTGGAAGCTTCGATTAGTGTTTGAATATATGACAATATAAGGCACATTTCTACCATCCAACGTTGTGTTTTCCATCGATAATGTAAAAGCTCTACTCGAAGGAAGAATATTTGACAGTGGGTACTCAGATAACAATGTCACACTGTGTAAAAAACTAAAATGCGCCAGTTATTGTTGAGCGTCTTGGATGGGGGAGAATCCTCCAGCGATTGCACTACGTAAGGCAGCATCACTCAATGCTGACATGATCTGGTTGTACTGAGCTTGTGGGGATAGACCTGTGAGTAGAGGTTCCATACGGAATTTCCACAACTCGTAGTCGCTG